TATTATTAATAGTTTGAGAATTTATAAGTTGCTAGTGTTTGTATATAAAAGCTAAATTGGTAGGAAGGGATTTAATTTGGTGATAAGACATAGGGACTGATTTTGAAACTGTCTCTCTGGTTTGTCTTCAGTACTGACAGAGCTAGTAAAAGAAATAAAAAGCTTGGATTACCAAATATTTTCATGATTGCATTCCTCAAATTTAGAGTGCCCTGATGTTTTGGTCTTGCATCTAACATTTACAATCCGCGATTTTTCGGAATACTACAGACTGGAAAAGCAGGCTTATTTGTGATTTTATGAGAAAACTATGTAATTATCAAGATTCAGTGACTTGAGGAAACTAGTTTCAGGTCAGGATTGTTGAAGAAAAATACAAATGGAATCAATCATCGCGAATGGCTTCACATACTTTACTTCTAAATTAGTTAGCTGGGTTTTCACGTATATATACTCCAAATCTCAGGGATTACTTTTTCAATCACCTCAGTCATAAAAGCACTTGAATGTAAAAAATGTCTTAAATTTACCTCCAAGTTGCCTAGCTATTTTAGTTTGTCTGAACTATTTTGAAAAATTCCTATTTTGATTATGGCGTGTAAATGCAGGCTTGCAGTAGAGGCATGGGGCTTGAAAAACTGCACTCAGAAGGAGGAATGGTACAGTGACACTGTCACTGCTGTTGTTGTCCCTTCTTACATAGACAGCTCAGAGATCGTCAAGCGCGCTTGGAAACGTTACAACTTGAGCTTGGGCCTCGGCCTTAACAAAGTTGCTGGCAAGGTTTTCAGAATAGGGCATCTTGGGAATCTAAATGACGTATGCTTTTTCTTCTCGATTCTAACATCATATATATCATGTTCCACTGCATCACAACTAGATTTACATTAATTTCTACTTCTTAGCGGCTTTTGTTTCATGCTTGTTATAGAATAATTGAAAGTAGCATGATTCTGAGGTATGATTGGAGAAATTAGCATCCAAAGTTCGAATATAATTGCTAAAAGGAAAAAAAAAAAAAAGATTGGTCTTTTTATTAGAAACTACAGTTGCTCCCTATAAATTTGTCTTTTTCTTCTCACAAATTTCCACCTGAAAGAGTATAAATTGAAATCCAAATCCTGTAGCTAGGGAACTAGCAATTTGGTCCATGAGCATGTAGCATTGTGCTTTTTAGCCATGTAAAACTTTTTGAGTTTCTGCTATATTGGTTGCATTTCCATGGGATTTTGATCCTATAATTTATACGCCGGTCTCCGAAGCATCCAAACACTAGGCAAAGTTCAATAAAAAAGTTACTATCTTTACTAAAGGTATAGCTGCCAAGGACTGCAGTTTCCACATCAAGATATTGAAGAACTAAACAAGTAAAACCCAAAAGAGTTCCACTACTAAAATTGCACCTTATCTTCGTAATCATAATATTGAAAGATAAATCGGATGATTTAAGGACCTAGTCTAAATTGACAGGTAGTTTTTCGTAATTGACTAATCCTAGGAAATGTTTTTGCGTCAAAAAGTTTTGATGCATTTCTTTACTATGTTGATATAGTTGATAAGTATGTATTAACAATTACTCGTTTAATTTTTTTGCTCATGCAAAATTTGGTACAGCTACAACTACTGGGCTGTCTTGCTGGTGTGGAAATGGTGCTCAAAGATGTGGGCTATCCGGTAAAGCTCGGCAGTGGGGTTGGGGCTGCCTCTGCATACTTACAGAACAAAATTCCTTTGATTCCTTCAAGGATTTGATTTGTTTAGAAAAGACTGGCTTTGTCTTTTCTGTCTTATTATTGTTATACTGTAAAAATTGCTCAATCTTCACCTTTCCTGGATTTGTATTGATTAAGTTTTTCCTTTTAATGGATAAAATGGACCTTTTGTATCTGTTTTTTGAGTTTTCTTTGTGAAGCCGTTCTTCTTTATGCACTACTATTACACACGCGCAGAGGCATACTTTGCAGTAATGCTTAAGATGTGTTATGTTCAAAGAAGTTCTGTGAAAAGCCAGATTGTGCATATAATTTTAGGCCTGTTGGTATTTTAAATATTTTCTATGAGTGTAGTGTTAATTCGTATCTTAAAAATAATCTTTTATTTCTTTTGTTTTTGCTTTTCTGTTTCTATTTATTTTAGTAATTATATATCTTTTATTTACTTATCTCATTAGGAGTCCTAAATAGATTTGGTGATACAAAAGAAAAGGGCCAAGGCAATTATAAAGGAGGCAGAGCATACGGTTTTTAGGGTTGTGACACAGAGCAGTGGCGAAACCAGAATCCGAATAAAGGGATGGTCGATTTTTCATCACCCGAATAAAGGGTGTAGCACCCGGTCGAGCTAAACTCGTTTCTTGATTCTTGCTTGTCCCTGTAGAAATCTCACCACTTTCTATATGTCGTGCAACATCATTATAATGCTTTTCCCGAATAGCATCCATCCTTTTACACGAAATCGCGGTAGGACTTAGCACACAATTTGCTGGTCGTAGGTTGAGGTCTCGACTCCTTAAACACCTATATTTAATCAAGATAATTTATCCTAAATAAATTATCTCGATAACTCGAAATTCTTACTTAAGCAGAAATATCTAAAATTAATCTAAGCAAAATTCTTAAAAGAATTTTAACATCGACTTAGAATAATTACCGCGCTTCGGGAGTCTACAAGTAAGGAGGCATGGATCGATAATAGCTCGGTAATTGGTTTGAAGCTCCTTCCAAAGTAGATTTTGTTTTAGTCCACCATTATAATTCCTTGGCCCATTCACACACCAAGCCCAAATCCAAAGCCCAAAACCACCTTTTTCTTTATTTTATTTTTTCCTTTTTCTTCTCTTTCCTTTCTCTTCGTTCTTCCCGTCACTTCCTCTTTCCTTTCACAGTTCCCCTTTTCCTTCATCCCAAATTCTTCTTTCTTCTTTCGCAGCCCTCCCCGAATTCTCCCAAAATCACAAGAATCAGCCAGCTCAAATCTTCTTCCATCTCTCTCACCTTTTCATATAGCCAAAAATTCTTGATTTTCAAAAATTTCCCTTCAATTTTGGATTTACGGAGGCCGGTTCTGCGAACACCGGTTTCTCACATATGGCCTCGATGAGGATCGAACACGGGTCCTTCACCGGTGGTCTCGTCAATGGAAGGATATGATCAGACGGTCTGTGCGCAGATTTCATGGAAGGGCGTCGCCTCCGGCCGGCGACCTCGGCCCCTATACCTATTAAAAAAAAAAAAAATTATGGGATGGCCGAGGCCACTCCTTGCCATAGCGTGGTTTCACCTCAGTCGGGACTTCCTCTATCATCTCTTGGGCATCCTCGGCTTTGCAAACCTCTGGGTTGATCTCTGTATGACTCGACAATGGACTTTCCTGCAGACTCTCAATCACCATGGCCAACTGGCTCGCACGTTGCCCAGTTGACTTTGTTTGGCACTCCATCTACTTCATTTGATTCTCCATCGAAGCAGCCCGAACCTCATTTTTAGCTATCAACTTGTCCATGTTACTCATGACCCTGGCGAACGTATCCTCAAATGACTCCTTCGGGTCGTTCATGAATTTTTGTGTCTGAGTCATAAATGTTTCCGTGGTACTCATGAATGAGGCGAACGCTTCTTCGAGTGCCGACTTCTTCGGCTCATTGATGACCCCATTGGTCACCGAAAATCCCATTGGCGGTTCTAGAGCATTGTATGGATCGGTGTACGAGAAATTAGGATAGTTCTGGTTGCCCGAATAGTACGTGTTACCTCCTTGATATCCCCAGAAATTGTCGTAATTTCGGTCATGCAAATAATTCACGTCCTGGACGCGTTCATACATTGACACCACATTCAGCCCGACATTCTCGTTCTTCACCCCTTGCATGCCGTTAAGCACCAATGTGGCTATTTGAGCCGCCAACTCTGAAATTTGGTCTGTATTGGTAGTCGTCGACACTCTATTAAACATCGTCTGCTCCACCGGCCATTGGTAGCTATTAAATGCCATCTCGCAAGAAAGAAAGAAAAATAAGAAAATATTAGAAAAGAGAAAAAGAAAAATAAGATAAAATAAAATAATAATAATAATAAAAAAATGTCTAAACTAATATCTATTCGTCTTCTTCTAATATTTAGCGTTGCTAGTCGGGACTCTAGGCGGTCTTCTGACCTGTCCTCCCACTTTTTCAGCTGTTGGCTGCTGTGTATTCAGCCGTTGGCTGCTGTGTATTCGCACATTTGTGCATTTTGATTTATAATATAATCTATCGTTTTGGGAAAAAAAAAAAAAAAATCTCCGGCAACGGCGCCAAAAACTTGTTCGCTTATTATTTTCGCAATCCGCAAGTGTACGGAGTAACTATAGGTAGTGGCGAGCAAGGTCGTATTCCACAGAGATTGTAGTTAAATTAATTAAGTACTAAAATAATGACGATTAAATATTATCTAGACTAGTGAATTGAATGGTGATTATAAACTAAGAATTAAACTAAAAACTAATTTATCTAAAAAATAAAAATATAATAAGATACAAAAGGTAGATTCTAGGTTATGCTTTCCTCGGAATTAATTCATGAAACGTTTATACTCAAACAAACTTTATTTAATTTTATCAATCGTAGAGATAATCGCTAAATTGATTTCAAACCTTTCTCTCGAACAAGTTAAATCGTAGATATTAATTGTATCTATCTCCTCTCGGTCTCAAGATGAACAACTAACTCCCATAAGTTCTTAGGATTTTCGTTCTCTCGCAAGGTCCTATCAACCTCTCGGTCTGTTTATTCTCTTACGTTATAAATCTCTCAATCCTAGCAATCAATTATCTCCTCTCGGTCTCAAATCAATTACAAATATGCATTCATAGTGGCCATCTACTCACACAATAATAATAAGCACAAGAAATTTATAAACGAAAGATAAACCGGAATGAAATAAATAAAAACTAAATTATAAATCAATCCGAGTACTAACAAATCCTAGAATCTAAGATAATCTAGCCTAGAAACATGCTTTAAAAATAAGAAAAATAAATATAAAACATTGAGCTCGAAAGAAGAAAAAGAAAAAGAAAGAAAAAGCTTATTCGGCTCCGTCGATCTTTTCTTCCCGGCTTTCTCCCTCGTCTTGCTCGTGTTTCTAGCCTCCAAGAGTCTCCAAAGATGTGAAAACTATGTCCAAGACTCCTCAAAAACGTGTCCTAGTGTTGTATATATAGTTGAGGTCGAGTCCTAGTCGAAATAGGTCGAAAAATCCCAAAAAATAGGAAAAACGCGTAAAATCCGTACAAGTCGCGCCCAGGGTCACACGACTAGTGTCATAAGCCACACGAGTCGTGTGGAAAAGTCGAGAGCAGTTTTCACGACCCGTCAGAGCGACACGACTCGTGTCGCGGGCTCACATGACCCGTGTGTACCTGGGAGTTCAAAACAGCGTCAAATCTTCATTTCTTGAATGTCTCGTGGCTCCTGGTCTATTTTCCGGCGTCCCAGTCGACTCTCGGTGATGAAATACGTCCAGGTCACCGGACATGGCGAGCTCCGGTAGTTTTCGCTCAGCCCGGCGGAGGCAGCTCCTCGACGGCCGCGCAGAACCTCTAAGAGTCTTCTCCGGTGACCATAGCAGGTGGAAGAGGCTGGGTTTCAAGCGTTCAACCGCGTCGACACGTCTGGTGACGAGCTTCAGTGAAGCTTTAATGGCTGCTCATGGCCACATTCACGTCACGCACATGATGAGAGGAAGAAGATGACTCCAATTTTTAATGCAAATATGGGAAATGACCCACATGCCCTCACTTAAGTAGCACTTGGGCTGAATGTATAAATGGGCTATAACCTATCCTTTGGGCCTCTATTACATGATAAAGGGCTGGTCTTTTAATTCATCTCTTGCTAGATATTTGGGCTCGTCCCAACGCATAATTCGCACACCGCCTTCGACCAATTTTTGTCGTTTTCGACTCCAATAATTAATTCGACCCTATTTCTTGTCAAAACTCAAAATAACACCTTTCATCATAGTTTAATAAAAATAATTAAATAAATAATTAAATAAATAATAATTAACTAAATATAATTAATTATATATCAAACTACGACGAAACGGACACAAAAATCACTATAAAATGCACGTAAATATGACGCATGTCAGTGTCCCAAGTGCAAGAGTTTCAACTTATCTTGCACGATATCCATGCTGAAGGAATGTCTCTGGGCGAGTCATTCCAAGTTGCGGCTATGATTGAAAAACTGTAGTCGGGTTGGAAAGACATCAAGAACTACCTCAAACATAAGAGGAAGGAGATGAGTCTTGAAGACCTGGTTGTTCGTCTTCGTATTGAGAAGGACAACAGTAATTCATCGGCGAATATTCCGATGATAGAGGCTCGTGCTAACTTGCTAGAGCAAGGCCACTCGAGCAAGAGGAAGTCCCTTGACAAAGGGAAGCAGTCTGCCAAGGTTTGGAAGTTTACTGGAACCTGCTACAACTGTGGAAAGCCAAACCATATAGCAAAAGAGTGCAAGAGGCCAAAGAAGGCTGGCCCAAAGAAAGGGCAACCTAGTGCCCTTGTGGCTGAACACGACCCTGTGCCGGGTGAATTGACCGACTTTGATATGTCGGCAGTGGTGTTTGAAGTCAATATGGTGGATAACTCAAGGGAGTGGTACATCGATACTGGTGCCACTCATCATGTGTTTTTCGATAAGGATGTGTTCTCTGAATACACTCCTGCTAAGAGTCGGAAACTTTACATGGCAAACTCAGCCACAACTGATGTGGCTGGAGTGCGCACTGTGGTGCTGAAGCTGACTTCTGGAAAGGAGTTGAAGCTTAAGGATGTTCTGCATGTCCCAGACATCCGCAAGAATTTGGTCTCCGGACCTCTTCTTGTTGAGCATGGATTTAGGCTGGTATTTGATGCTAAGAAATTTGTTCTTAGTTAGTTTGGAACTTTCCTTGGTCGTGGCTATCTCGACAAGGGTATGTTCAAAATGAATGTAATGGCCGTGAGTCGTGTAACCGTTTTAAATGATAATGAAAAGCCTATTTCTGTTTATACCGTTGAGTACTCTGATTTATGGCATATTAGATTGGGACATATAAATCTAAATGCAATTAAACGGTTG